TTTTTTTTTTTTTTTTTTTTTTTTTTTTTTTTTTTTTCTTCTTGAACAGCGCTAAAAATTTTAAGATTTTTCTCAACGACGTCTGATCAAGTACAATAACTAGCATTATTGTACCATCGACATGGTCTTGAAACATGTCATGAGTTGAAGATTGTCCAGTGAATATCGATTGTAACATTTTTCTAATTTTAATATCGGAGAATTAAGAGAAGAACGGGAAAGGAAAGAATTATCCGTAATCGGTAATTTGTTAAGAAAAAGAAGAATGAGGAAGAAAAAAGGATAAATTAAGAACGAAAGATATTTGGGAGAACGACGCTTTTCTGCGCACGGACTAGGTCCTAGTTCTCTAAGAAACGTTAATTACTGTAGCGTATCCCACAAGTGGTGATGGTACACACACAAGTGATTCTAGTTGTTTTTATTGTAAGGTAGAGATCAAGTGCTTCTTTTTTTTTTCATACATAACGTTTTAATCTCTCTCTTCTCTCTGTAGCGTTTCGTTTTTTCGGCGCTCGATTGTATGCCAGTTGATAAATCGCTCGAAGGGCTACACGATGTCTCGAGTACGGGGAAAGCGTTGCGACGCATCTTTTATTATCGTTTTATCGTGTTTCGACACGGTTGATGGTTCGTCGAACAATGGATTTTCATTATCTTTTTGTTTCTTTCTTTTTTTTTTTATGTTTCTTGTTACTTGTAAATATTTTTAATATCTATGACTATTAATTTTTTATTAATTACTATTAATTTTTTCTTATTGCAAGATACAATTGCATAAATCAAAATTCTAAAAAATTACAATATAATGATCATAATCATTTTTTAAAATATTAAAAATACTTTTTTTATTGCTAAAAAAAAAAAAAGCAATCGAAATTGCAAGTTCCATTGTTAATGACGCCACGACAAGAGTTACTTACGTAAATGATCATTGAAGTAAATTATGCATTAAGAGGGCTCCCCCTACAGGACAAGAACAAATAATGTATATCTCTGTTCGTAGTTGCTTCCTCTTGTCTGACAAAGAAAAAAAAAGAGAAATTCTGAATAAAAAAGTTAATCATGAGCAAAGCCCACTCATGCGCCTTTCATGGATAATACACATGCGACTAATATTTTATGTACTGTTGGTGCGCTAAATAATAAGCGATTCTGCTCGTTGCAACGCTCAGTGACAATAATCAAGTATAATTATTATATACACATGTTTTTTAGCACTTTTTGCGATGTGAAATCGGCATTAAAAGTATATTCCCGGTAAAACTTTTTATATTGCGCCTATTATTCATTTATATTGTTGATTTATTATTTTATTATTTTTTAATTGGTTTTTTTTTAACCCGTGACAACACGAATTCGTGAAGAGCTTATAATATATATAATATATATATATATATGATACATTACTATCATATATACGTGTATATTTGTAGACATATAAAAAAAAGAATTAATTTTATAGAAAGCTTTGTTAATGACAGATTCGCTTTTAAACCGCCAGTTTTTTTATACAGCAATTGTGTTTTAGTTAAAATATTATACATTCTGTACATTTGTTTCTTTACTTTTGTAACCATGCGTTGAAACTTTATAGAATCAACCGTGCTTTACAATTGTAAATTTTAGTTGGATACAAA